CAAGAATTATCTGTTGTGAATTGGGCAGCTGAGTTATTTGGAGACACTGATTAAATATGGCATTTTTTTATAATTCAAGCTAAACATATTCCTTATAAAAAAAGAAAAGGGTGGTTGCAAGTAAAAAAAACAGGTTGACTTGCAAAGGGTATAAGGGATAAAATAGAAAAAAGTATAGAAAAAAAAATTAAATTCACTGGCATGATAAGAGATTTAGAAGATTATAAAAGATCAAGAAAGTTTGTCAAACAGGAAATAAGACCTCAAAGAGGAAGTACGAAAAAAAAGGTTGGCTGAAAATGTAAAAGTTAACAGTAAGGATTTCTTTAAATACATTAAGAGTAAACAAAATGCTAGGATGGGGGTAGGACCTATGAGCATTGATAAAGGAAGTCTTGTATCTGATGGTTATGAGATGGGTGGGCTATTAAATTATGCTTTTTTCTTCAGTTTTTACTAATAAAGGTTTAATCAATATTCCTCATCTTGAACAGTTGATAGATGGAAACAAGATGATCATATTAATTCTGAGCTTGTTAAGAAAAATTGGGAATTTTAAAGAACGATAAGGATCCTGGGCCAGATAATATTTCCTCAAGGGTTTTAAAGGAGGTTGAGGATTGGATATATGAGCCTCTTGCTACTATTTTTTGTAAATGCTTGAATAGTGGGCAAATGCCAGAGGATTGGAAGTTGACTGATGTTACTCCTCTTTTCTAGGGTGGTGATGAAAATTGTCCCATTAATTATAGACCCATTAGTTTTACATCAGTTGGGGCAAAAGTTTTGGAAAGTCTGATTAAAGATGCTTTGCAAAGTCGCTTAACAAAATTTATCATTTTATTGGATAGTCAATATGGTTTCTCTAAGGAAAAATATTGCCTTACGAATCTTTTGACATACTCTGAAAAGGTTACTGCTTATGTAGATGAGGGTAAGGGTGTAGATTTGATGTATCTGAATTTTCAGAAAACATTTGACAGGGTGTCATATAAAAGGCTTGTACAAAAAATTATCTCTATAGATGTGGGGGATAAGTTAGCTAACTGGATAGAAAAATGGGTGCATGGAAGAAAGCAGAGGGTTGTTATAAATGGAGCTCCGTCAAACTGGATTAGTGTTGCAAGTGGGGTACCTCAGGGCTTAGTCTTAGGACATTGCTCTTTTTGATTTACATCAATGACCTAGATGAAGGAATTGTCAATAAATTTATTATCTTAAATATATATATATATATTTACATGAATAAAATGAGACATTTGTGCACTTGACACCTTAGAAATTTTTTTTAAACTAAGACTACATCATCACACATTTCTATCAAAATATTATTTATAGCCAGAAATATAGACATTTTTTCCCATTTTGTTTTAACTTCCCATTTCATAAGTTCTCATTATGTTTTATTCAAGCATTTAGAAATCACACAATTGACATTTTGTGCATACATGATTTGCATTTTCTTCACAGAGTTAGTTTAACCTGTGTAAAGATAGACACATGCAGTATTGTTTACAAAATATATTCATTGTGTATATTTGAAGAAGGATATTATGTTGCTGTTGAACTTTTGTTCTTTATCACAAACAGATGAGTACATCAAAAGTTTATTACATTTATTTTGTTTAGTGGATTAGTGATATAATGTGTAAATATGGTCATAACAAAGATTATTTCTTCTGATTGGTGGGTTAACTGCAATAATTGTTCATGCATATGTCCAAGGATTGTACTGTGTACAACCATTTGTATATTGTCATAAAATGCTGCACACCTTTGACTTGTATACTAGTCCTGATCATCAAATAAACAAACATGCCCTAGAAGAACACTTTCAAGTAATCATGTTGCTATAGTTTTAAACTTGTATATTTTTCAAAGATGTACACCTTGTTGTATGTAGGAACACCATTCGTCGAATAAACGAACACAATCTAAAAGCACGAGTTCATAGTAATCAAGCTGGCATAGTCTTTAACCTTTATATTTTTAAAAGCTTTTACTACTGTAGCAATATGGGTGAAAAGTAGTTGCACCACACAAGAAAAGCTTTTGCTTGTGTTGAGCAGCTAATGAGAACTTAGCCTGTAACAACTGTCAGTTAAAAACTTTCTACCTTTTAAACCCCTGATATAGATTCAATCTATTGGCTACTATTTTTTGCATCTTCAATCCTAACAGGCTGCAGTTCATCCCTTATATAAAGAGCTTCCCCACTTCTTTTATTATTCAAATCTAACCAGGTTTCAGTACTTGCCATTATGTTATATTCTTCATATCAACTAGAGCCTTGAACTCATCTGCTTTGTTTCTAATACTTCTAACATTATAATAGTAACAACTAAGTTTATTATTGATTCTACAATGTTTAAAACTATTATTTAACTAGTTAATGGTCTATATTTCTCTTTTCCAAAACTTCTTTTTGCCATAGCTATCCAATCTATTTCTTCCCAATTTCCCTCACCATTATGCAAATTAAAGCTTATCTTTATTGAATATACTACAATTTCTCAGACATCATAATACCAGACCCACTTAGGTGGAACCCACCTCTGGCATATAATTCACTGTTATTCCATAAGTCCAACCAGCCCAACTGTTGCTCTAAGCATATATTTGATAATCTTTTATATATGGATCATACTAAGTAATTCAGCTAGCCCCAGGAAGCACTCCCAAGGGTGTCACATTTATTTCTATCCCTAAACCTATGAAGGAAATTTTGTACTGTACTTGTTAAACTTTGCACTAGTACAGAAAACCTGCATTGATGGCTTATCCATCACTATGCCAATTTCTTACACTATTGAGTGGTTTACCATGTATATTAAATGTGTGAACTGAAAATTTATAACCCAGATACATTTACTGTAGTTAACATTCATTTGCTAATTATTTGTACAACTCACAAATTGATCCAAGCCATGCTTTAATACATTCTCCTTATAACTAGACACACTCAAGAGTTTAATGTAATAAGCAAACTATACTACTTTACTAAGTATGCCCTTATCATTAATATAACTCAGAAAAAAGAAAGATCAAAACACTGACCCTCGAGGCACTCCAGTGGTAACAAGTATCAAGTTTTTGCTTTCTCTCACCTAGCCACCCTACAGTCCTATTAATTAGACTTTCTCCAACTTCTACTGATTTAATTTTCCTAGCTAATCATCTGTGTGGCACCTTATCAAAATATTTTTGAAAAAAATCTGTTGTAAGAATACCACATTACACACCTTTTCCATCTTCAAAAAAGTTAAGAGTTTAGTAAAGCAAGACCCTTTAGTGAATCCATGTTGGCTTTATTTGTGGTATCATATTTTGCCAAGTGATTTTGTAAAGCTTCTTACAGATTTGCTTAGTGTTTGACTGTAGTTTTGATAAAATTGTGTAGAAAAATTTAATTTATTCTGTTGTAGCATTCAGGGCTTTCAGTTATTGGAAGTGTTCATATTATATGCATTATATAAATGTACATATGTGTAGAATAATGAAGTTTTATAATTTTAGAAAAGAAAAAACTCTGTAATGATCTCCAAAGTCATACGACTCAGAGAAAGGCATTAGAAGATGATATTGGAAAAGGTGAGTGAGCTAGATTTGAATAAAATCTTATGGTATATAATTGAAGACTACCTAAAGTCTGTGAAAGTTTGTACTTAACATAAAAATTTCTAATCTTAACAACTTTATCAGCTTTGAAACTTGTTTAGGAAAGTTAGTTGAGATACGTCTGTTGAGATGTTAGTAGGTGCATCCTTGCAGTGTTATGCGTCATAAATATGTCTGCCCCAGACTGTACTAATTCATACTATCATGAGTAAAGCAGTGTTGGGATAGCTGCCCATCCCTCTTCTTTTGAAAATAGAGTTTTGTGGTCACCCATTGCCTTTCTCTGGTGTTGCATTTCTCCACACTGCATTGTACCCCCTTTCTTCGAGTGAAGTATGGGAGTCCTTGCAACTTATGAGCTCCTAGCTGCTGGCAGCAAAACCCTCCACCAATAGGAGAGACTTCCTTGCACAAATCCTCCCTTTCAATTTGTGCATGAGAATCCTCATTCTTTTCCTCAGCACAGTCATATAAAGATGTATTTGTGTTTGCTGAGACTTATCAAAGAACTTTGTTCTCAATTTACTTTAATTGTGTTTTGAAGCAGGTTAAGGATTGGACATGTGAGCCACTTGCTACTATGTTTTATAAATCTGTGAATAGAAGGCAGGTACTAGAGGATTGGAAGTTATCTAATGTTACTCCCCTTTTCAAGGGCAGTGATAAAAATTGTCCCAGTAATAATAGTTTTGGAAAGTCTGATAGAAGATCCTTTGCAAAGTCATTTAACAGTCAACATGGTTTTTCTGAGGAAAGGTCTTGGCTTACAAATTTCCCGACATTCTTTGAAAAGGTTACTGCTAATTTAGATTAGGGTAAGGGTGTAGGTTTGGTGTATCTTGATTTTCAGAAAATGTTTGACAAAGTGCCACATAATAGGCTTGTACAAAAAATTATCTCTAGGTGTGGGGGATAAGTTAGCTAATTGGATAGAAGAATGGGTGCATGGAAGAAAGCAGAGGGTTGTTATAAATGGAGCTCGGTCAAACTGGATTAGTGTCACAATTGGAGTACCTCAGGGCTTAAACTTAGGACCTTTACTCTTTTTAATTTACATGATGAAGGAATGAACAATATATTTAAAGTTGCTGATGATTTTAAGGTCTTGGACATTTCTGGCTGTGAGGAGAATGCTGCTGCTTTATAAAAGGATTTGGATTAGTTGATGAGTTGGATGAATAAATGGCAGATGGCTTTTAATTATAATAAATACAAGGTAATGCATGTAGGATATCACAATTTGAATTATAAATATAATTTGGATGGGAGTAACCTTAACAGTGTTATGAAAGAAAGGGATCTTGGTGTAATGGTTGATCAGTCTTTTAAGCCATCCCTGCAGTGTGCTGTTACTAGTAGAAGGGCAAACAAGAATTTAGGTCTTATCTACAGAAATATTGAATACAAGTCTAAAGAGGTTATAATTTCATTGTATAGGCTACATTTGGAGTATTGTGTTCAGTCTTGGGATTTTTACCTCAGGAAGGACATTGTTTTGCTGGAAAGTATTCAGAGGAAGGTTACTAGAATGGTGACTGGAATGGAGGGGTTGTCATATGAAGAGAGGTTAAGATCTCTTTCATTGTTTTCTCTTGATAAAGTAAGAGTTAGAGGGAATCTGATTGAGCTGTTAAAGATTGTTAAATGAATAGATAATGTTGGTGCATCATCTTTTTTCACAAGTAACAGTAAGAATAATAGAACTAGGGGACACAAAATATAAATATGGTAATCTTCAGCTAAGACAGTTATTTTTCTACCACAGTGGTTTGCCTTTGGAATGGATTGCCTTCAGCTATTGTGGAGGCAGTGAGTTTATGAGAAAGCTTGATAACTATGAATGATAAGGGCTTGTTTTTTTTAATTGGTTTAGAGGAGGGAACAATATGTCCCTTATTGACATTAAACATTGTTATGTTATATGAATTATTACAAGTTCACAATTCAATGTGAATTCTTCAACTGATGTGGGTAAAAATATCACTCACACTGATGAAATTGCCAACAAATCTGGAAATTCTTTATCTTTGGAAGATGTGACAGCCATTGTCCAACATGTGTTGGGATCCATAATGCTGCTGGAGCCTTCTACTTCTGTCCCTACTACACAATTTCCTTCCTCTACCTTTGATAATGAAGCTGAGGAGGACAATTTTGGATGAATTTTTCCACCTTGAGGCTTTGCATTGGGTACCTTCATGCCTTCATAAGAACAAGCCCAGTCTTCTTCAGGTTTTCAGTCTTGTTATCCAGGTATGTACATTTCTTTTCTCATCCCCCATAACCTATGACACTTCCTGTTCTCTCTTACATAATCATTCCTCTCATGATTTCTTTGCTTTCCCCTTCCCTGATATTTCCATCTATGCCATCTCCTCTCTTGATCCATTTTGTTCATGTAACCTCATACCTTGCCTCTCCCACCTGACTGATTCCCATCTTCCTGCTGATAGTCACTCTCCCTTTCCATTCTTTGATATCTAATACTTGGAGGCTCTTTTACCAGTTTGAGGGGCAGGTTATTTTTCAGCTGTCTCCCTGTCTAGTGCCCAATTTTTCTAACTTCAAGCCTTCCTTTGCATTATGATGGAAGTGCTTTACCATTCCCCAAATGCATTTTTTGGTGACACTGGGTGCTGCACTTATCTTCCATTGCCCTTTCTCTTCTCACTTGGTTCTTTTGTTGCTGAGACCTTTTGAGAAGGGGTACCCTACTTTTCCAAGTCTGATTACCTTCCTCCAAGACCTTCATTTAGCCCTATTTCTCTGACAATAAGTCTATGGCAACATCTCTGATTCTCTCAAATCACAGGCTGAAGTTGCCTGCCATCAATCTTTCCTTTCTTCCTTAGGCTCATGTTTGTCCTATTCACACTCTACCACACCTATTCCTTGCCCTTATCCCCTTTCCATTCCACTATCCTTACCTTCCACCTCCTCCCATTATCCACCAACCTAACCACCAGTGACTATCCAGTCTGTTTGGGAACTGTGAGAGCCAGTCTGTCTCAATTAGCACATTGTGGACACATTTCAATGCCAACAGATGATACTTTCAACTCATTACCCATTGTCTCTCCCTTCACTTCTCTTCCCAACCTCCTCTCCTCACCCAACTCATTGCCTTTCATTACTCTTGAAATCCAGCCTATCTTCAATGTTTGTATGGGGTAGTTTTGGACCTGTTTGAGAAACAAGCCTTTGAGAGAATTCATAACCCTTCTCTGGATTACTACTCTCACCTCTTAACTGACCCCAAAAAGATTGGAGACTGGCACCCAATCATTGACCTATCCTCCACGAGTCTTTTTTTGGTAGTCACACCTTTCTCCCATTTCTCATCCCTCTATTTCCTATCCTTATGAATGATTTAACCCAGGTAGACTTCTTTCTCCAGGCCATTCATTGTTAACTATCTTTTGCTTCCTCCTTTCAGAGTTCCTGTCACCATCTTTTCCTCTAGTAAAGACTTTTCTCTCTCTCCACCCTTACCAGATGGATCTGCCAACTCATCCATATAGCATACTTCTCATTGGGGGCAGATAGTTGTCGGGTTTTTCATGTCTCCTTCTACCAGATTACACACATGACTATTGGTGGAAGGTTTTGGTACATGATACATTATCACATAGTAGCGCAAATTCACGTGAAGTTAGGTGGGGGTTTTAATAAGGCCAGTGACATGCAAGTCTTTCAAGCAGAAATGTGCAACTTGAAAAGTTGAATAAGTATCTGTGTATGAAAGTGAGTATCTATTGGAAATACACTTTCAGGTAAGGAAAATGTTACCTTTACTCAAATTTTGGCTTTCTGACATTTAACCCAGTCACAGTGAAAGGGTTAAAAAAACATGGAACTGGTCTTGTTGTTATAAAAATCAACCTGATTTTTAAGTAATTGATATTGTGAAGTATAGTGTAATGTATGTGTTTCTGTTGCCTTGACCTTATAGATTAAAGTGATTGTCAGTAATACATTTAATTTTTTAGTTTTGTATTAACCTGGGTATCAATAACTGGTGAACATAAATGTACAATGAGTATAGATACTTTAGTTTATGTATAATTACCATAATTAGGGTATTTTTCTTATTTCAGCAAGAGAAAAATTCTGCCAAGTTTCAAATAATCACGTTAAAATGCAAGGTAAGAAATAAATAAATCCTATAAAATACGTATAAGGAAATGAACATTAAATATATATTCTATAAAATGTTTTTGAAAAAATTAGCTATGAAAAGAGGAGAGCAGTACCAAGAACATTGTTGAAATTAATAACACTGATAAATATAATAATAATATAAGAAAAATTAGGTTTGGAAGAAATAAAATTGAATGAAATGTCACTGAACAGGTTTAATGTTGTGTGGTGATATTAAATATCATAACATTTTACCCCTTTTCTCACTAATTTGGTATTATATATATGTATATATATATATATATATATATATATCTTTATTCAGATTAATTTCTCTAAATTTTCTTGCAGGTTTTCTGCATTTAGTTAGTGCCTTCCTGACAAATCTGGTGTATGAAGTTGTTAAACTTACACTAATCTTCACCTTAAATGTTACATACTACAGTGCTTGTTCCATTGAGCTTATAAATGCTTGACTGTGTTTCTATGTCAGTCTCATGAAATAAGCTTATACTCATTTCAAAAGATGGAGTGAGGGATGTCTTTCCTGAATATGTTTGTTTAGAATGGTCATTGACATAGGTAATCTAAGGAAAGTAATGTATTGCACTAGGATGCTGGTGTGGCATAAAAGTGGGATGGATACATATGTTAAGTGTGTAAAGGAATGTAAATACAAAATCCTCAATAGATGATTGTGTTATGAAGAGAAAGCATTAGGCTAGAATTTATTAGTGTTTTGGAAATATTGGACACAAAGAGTAATGAATGTGTAATATTGTAAAGATAATGTATATATAATTTTTTCAATAATCAGGTCATTTAGTTTACTTATTTTTTGGCATTTAGTGAAATAAACTTTTATTTTACAATGCATTTATAGGCAGTGAAAAACAAAATTATTTAGCCAAGTTATTCACTCTTGATTAAAAGTGAGTATTATCACTCGAAAATGAGTTTATATGGAAAGTATTGAGAGCTTTTAGTGAAATTTAAACTTTAATGTGTTGAACTAGTACAAATCATATAGCATTATGCTATGACAACTGAGAAAAAAAAAGTAACACATATACTAGACTTTTAATATATGTAAGAGACATGTTTAAGTAGGTATTAAAAAAAAAAAATATATATATATATATATATGTGTGTGTGTAATATACTGTATTTAAAATTGAAATGGTCTGATGGTTATAAACTTACGTTAATTTGAAGGAAACACAGTTTCATTCCTAACAGTATCCTGAAATAAGTACTTAAAACTCAAGTTATAAAATATAGCAATAATATTTTTCACTTGAAATTGCTTAGAAAGAAATAATTATATTATCATGTAAATAATGTAGCAGCTCAAATATTAAACTATGAAAAACACCACTTTTTTCTTTTCACATCTGTAACATAAAGTTTACTAACTACCCATCAATGATATCACAATACAACATGTACATAATTTTAGTAAAATTTTTTATATAATACTTACCAATAAAATCAAATTAAAAATTAACAGAGATAACAATTTGTGTAATCAGTTAAATCGTACTATTCACACATTTTTTCAGTGTAACAAATCAGTTTTTTTGTACTGTTGCTATTGGCATGCATGAAGTAACTATTACAAGTTGTAAAGGAAACAAATCTTTCCTGACATACACAGAAGCACTTTTATGCAAGTATACATACTATACTTCAAATAAAGAGGAAACTCAAAAAATACTTAAGTGAAAATGAGTAAACCTTCTAAAACATGAGTTACAGATATTGGAATTTGTACTTTTTTTTTACCCTGGCATATGCAATTCTACACAACAGAATTAATATTAGGCTGTTAGGTAGCAAAACTAGAAAAAATGTATTTCTTTTTACTTAATTTAGGTTACAAAGTATACAACTAGAGCTTCTTAATATTTAGTCAGTCTGTATTGTTTTAAAAGATTAATACAGTATTTTTGTTAGTTATAACTACAAAAACATAAATGATTATTAGGTTTAATCTCTTTTTGTATGTGTGTGTGTGAGAATTTTATTGTTAATCCATTTGTACTGTTGTTGTTTGTAGTGCAAAGCTACACAATGGGCTATTTGCACTTTTTCCACCATGGGGAATCAAAATTCCAGATTTTAGCATATTTGTAAATTGTGGGACAAATTTAGGTTTTGAAATTTCTTATTTATGCAGTTAATGTAGGAACACAAATGCAGTTAATGTGCATCTAAACCATATTCTTTGCTATCAAATTTACTAACTGTCACAAGTTAGGCACTTTACATTGAGGTATCATGCTTAATGTATAGGTTTAATTTACACAACTAAACTAATTAGTACTTTTTAGCAATACTTAAAATGGTGAAGTAACTTACCATTAAATCTGACGTTGAACTTTTGATAAAAGAAACATTATTAATCAAAGAATGCTTCCTACACTTAAAAGTTCTCAGTCCTTTTTCCAGTTAAACTTACTGTACTTTGATTGTAATATATATATCCTTGTGTTTTTATTTTTTGTTTGTTCTTATTTTCTATACATGCTCCTCTTTCCTCATCATTAACCACAGATGGTGGGTGCTACAACCTTTTACAAAGTGATGTTCAACATGGTATTATATCTGATCTCAGAGTTATCAACTATTAAGTTTACCCAACATTGCTGATTTATCTATAATACGTGGTGGAAGAGAGTAAACACCAGATACAGTAAACAGAAATACCTTACAAAAAACTGTAGATGTGTATTTCAGAGGTTCTATAGGTTATGAAAATACAATATGCAAACTGTATGATCAAAAAAGTATTCTTATTCTTCACATGAGCATCATCTTGCATTTAGACTTGTCAGAATTTGAGTCAGGCTGATATTGTGAGTTCACTGACATTTCTCGAGTACAGATAACATGTATGATTTTTTTTTGTATAAAACAGATTTATACATTTTACTAAAAGTCTGCTATATTTCATGTACATACACAAATCAAATTCAGAATTATTATCAAATTTCCTTTTCCAGTAAGGGGTTGGTCCATTGGACTGACCCTGTGCACATCCAGTTGTAACTGGAGTCTCTGTTATTCCAAACTGCCTGATAAACATGTTTTTATTATTACTATTGTGCTCTTACTTTTGATGGAGCTATTTTTTCCAACACACAAAACAATGTTTTTTTGTTGTTGTTTTTTTACAGTTACAGTTTTTACAATACAGAAAAATTATTTTTTAAATAGGCACGGCATTTCTATCACTCAAGTACACAGGTTTTAATAGTAAAGGATTTAAAAGAATAGTTATAATCAGTATTTAAACTTAAACAAAATTAATGGCAATAACTTTGGTATCAAACTGTAGATTATAATTCAAATTTCTGTGTGACACATGGTATGTTGAATGCAGCACTTGTTCAAATTAGGTGTTTTGAAGTCAAAATACTAACTCTATTGTTTTGTACGAATTAGAAACTCAAATTACTGATATTGACA